AAGCTCCTCAGGTGGAGGAATAATGTCCCTCTCTGCTCTCCGTCCAGTCCCTGCTGTGCTATGCTCTCCTGACCTTTGACCTTTAGGCTGCTAGCTGTTCTGATGGACTCCAAATAGTTTGGAAATGACCTCATTACCTTCTTTTTGCTTCATATTCAAATTAAAGGAGAAGTCGGTAACGATTCTGGGGAATAAAAGAGAGATTTTCTGCCACGCTTTACCACTTTAATGGAGTTTTATGAGGAAACATCCTCAGCAAACTTAAATAAATGGAAGCTGAAATTGGAGGAAAAGAGTAAAAGGGTTTCCTGCTGGCGATCAGCAGGTGGTGTCTGAGAGCCGAACCCAAATCAAAGCTAGAAACGTCTCCGTTTGTGAGACGTTTCAGTAAGTTACAGAAAGACTGGGAGCACAGCGCCCCCTGCTGGGGCCTCCAGGTTAAACACCCCATCCCCACGTTGAGCATTACTGATTATTAACCCTTTAAAGCCTGATCCAAGACTAAAACAAAACAGAAAATTACTTTTTTTGGTTTGAATTCCTTATTTGGCCTTTTAACAAAATATGTAAAAAGAAAAAACTGAAATACATTTTTAATATTAATTATTTATTACTATGCAATAAGTCAAGATTATTTTTTGTGTAGTCTTCTGCCCCCTGTTATCAGGTATATCTGATTGTGTACAATAGGATTTTGAGCAAAGTTTTTACCATTAAATTAAGCAAAAGGTGTCGGACACAAAAAACCGTATGTATCAAATATGATACATTTGGCATTACAGGGATAAAAACAGTAGTTTGGTTCATTTTTAGGTGTTTTTCCTCCATTTTCTGATCAGAAACTCTGCAGAAACTGTGAAATTATCTGCTTACTGAAGACAACCGGCTTCTTTTTTACCACCTTACAGGACAACTTCCTGTCCAGGTCTTTTCTGGATCCGCTCCATGTTTTCTGGGGCGAAACGATCCCGCTTCTCTCGTCTAATTACATCCAACACGGATCTGTCTAAGTTTGGTCTCGTCTTGCTAATTAATCACAG